AGTGAAGACAGAAACACAGCCATTGGATTTCATCATAAAAATTTCACTAGTAATCTCAGTTTGCATCAATTACAATAAGTTTTTCTGTTGAATCATTAAATGTTTATAAATAGCTACTATGGGCAGGCTAGGCTGTGGCTCATAGAGCATTACGGAGGCAGGATGAATAAAATAGAGTCAGGATCTTGTAGATTTTGAAGTCTTAACAGCCACATTCTCTCCCTCCCTCTCTCCCTCTCCCCCCTCTCCATACATACATATATTTACATTTTTAATGTGTTATGAAGAAAACTCTTTCAAAATAAGCTGGAAATGATTATAGATTATTCTTCCAAGACTGCAGTGCAGGATGCTACAGAAGCTGAATTGTACAGGTGAGCAGAGTACAATCTGAGAGCCAAGGAAGAGTGTTTTTTGTGAAAGAGATATGAACAAATATAGATCAAAGAGAAAAAAGTACAGAAATGTAAAGATATAGGAATAAAAGTCAATAATTGACATATTAATACAGGTAGGAAATGAAGGAGTCAGTGTTTCATAAAGGATTTGACTGCGGTGAAGAAGGGGATTTCTATAAGGGAGTAGAATTGGTGCAAAGGATGCTGGGAAATTTGACTGGCCGTGTTGACTGGCTTAATGAAGTAGGAATCAGGTCTATTTGTTAAGGGGGAGAAAGGTGGCAGTTAAAAAGAGTTTGGGAAAACAAATGTGAATAGCTATCTAAAAGTGAAGGGATCAACTTTTAAAGTAACTTAAAATTATTTTCTAGACTTCGAAAAATAAAAGTTCTAGACGTTAGACCCCTTAGTCACTATATGGAAGAGAGTCATGAAGAAAAGTAAAATTACCCACTTGTACTTAATTTAGCTGTTATTTGAGTAGGAAATTTGTTTTTCCTAGCTTGACATGCTGAAGTTTGCTGTTATTGCATACTCTAGTTTCTCTTTCCTAACCAACATAACTGCTGTGAAAGTGTTGCATTTTGTATATATTCTTTTAGATATTTTTGCTCCACTTGTGCTTTGTTCTGTTGTTTGTGTTTTGATGTCAGGCATGTGTTAACCAGATGTGATTGTGCTTATTATTTGAATGTTCTGGTTTCTTTCTTTTGGCAACAATGGAAAAAAGTCTGAAGCACCAATTTTGGACAAAGACAGAACTTCTTAAGAGCACAGTTTGGCCTATTGATAAGATCCTACACTCAAATATGTGAGCCCATTTCCCAACCTATTTCTTTGCTTTCAAGATCGAATTGCTACTCTCCACATGCCCTTTGGAACATAGGTTTCCCCAAAGAGGCAGTTATTGATTGGCAAAGACAAAAAGAGAAAATACCTCCATTTCTTGCAATAAATAACTCTACCTTCCAATTATCCCCAGCAGAATAGAACAGACAATATGAGACCTTTTGGAATCTTACCATCCAAGATTATAGAATTTAGAGGCCATCTTCTTTAGCCTTTATTTTCTTTTACATATAAATATTTTTCCTGCTGTGTTCTTTTCTTTTCTGTAGAAAACCTTCAGAATTTTCTCCTTTTCATTTATCCACAGCTGGAGTTTTTCTGTTAGTTTCAGGGTATACAAAAACACTCCCTAACGTGTAACAGCCCAGGTTTGTGAGCAGACTAATGGGTGGGTGTGTGAAACTAATTTCTGACACATTTTCCTCTGTAATTTTGAAGACATTCCTAAAAGTAGATGCTTACAATCTTTGTAAGCTTGAGTAACTATTTAACTTCTGAAATCTTTATTTCCTCAGCTATAGAATAATAGTGCTCCTATTCCCAATTCGCAAATTATGGTAAATATATGTAAACCAGTGCAGAGTCTGGCACATAGTCTTAAGAATTAGTTGTAATGAAGAAAAAAATTAGCTATCATATACAAGTCCCCATCATGTATAGGGAACTTTTTTGTTTTTCACTGATTATCTCTAATCCTAAAGGTAGTACTGCTAAATAGTATTTTCCGTGATGATGGATGTTTTATACCTGTCCTGTTCTTCATGATAGGCAACCACTACATGTGGCTTCTGAACACTTCCAAGGTGGCTGACCCAACTGGAAAATTGATTTTTAATATTATTTGGTCTGAACTGATTTAAAGTTTAGCAGCTAGGTGCATGTAATGGCTACGACATAAGCCAACTCATCATTGTTAGGACAGCCATCGAGGCAGGCATTGCTATCGTCTTATAAAACAGAAAGTGATGCCAGGAATATTAGGGTCATCTGCTTGAGTCACTTAACAAGCAGATGAGGGAGCTAGGATAAGAACCCAGGTTTACCCCATTCTTTGGCCATACTTTTTTCTCTTTATCATGCTGTTTTGAGAACCTCCAAGTTTATGAATACCTCAGTTATTTTATGCGCAGCTGTTTGCACTGATTCAAAATCGCTTCTCTGAAACCGCAATCATCAAACTGAAGAAGAGGCTTGTGGAACAGCTTAATTCCACTCCCTTCTTTATATCCCAGAGGTTGCCTCTGTACTTCTCCTGAGTGATCTTCTAACTTCCTTCCAAATTCTACCAATGTCTGGTGGATTGCAACGTCTCCCTTGAGCTGCTATTACAAATCACTCCCATATTCTCTATTAATCTCAATCTGATTCAGTGTGGCTGAGTTCTGATCAAGCTGTGGAAGCCGTGGCCCCTTGGCACATCAAAGTCTCTGTTGGTCAAAGCACAACTGATCAACAAATACAAATAACCCTGCTCCCTCTAGACCTGGGAGATGGCTTTCATCCTGGTTCTGAAGACAATGAGGGATGCAAAACGGACTGGAGGGGAACACTGTGGCCCTAGAGTCACAAATGGCAGTGCTCCTGGTGCTTCCAGGTTCCTGTGACATTTCCTGTTCATGACCACCACTTCAGATGTGTGTGACCCTTCTCAAATATCAGAACCTTGTCATCTTACTCCATCAGATTTTTCCCCCTTTACATTAAAGAAAATTAGAAGTTCTTAAAACCAAGTATTTGTTTAAAAAATTACAATCCCTTCTCCTGTCTTTCCTTCTTTCCTCTTGTTAAAATAATGCCTTATCTTCCTCTTCTTAAAGGCAATATCCTTCCCTTCACAATGACTTCACTGCATTAGTCTGAAATCATCTTCCCTGTGTCTTCATAATTTTCCCCTTTATACCCATATTCCACAAGACTTAGAACCCACTCAAGCCTCTCTCTATTTGCAGCACACACACACACACACACACACACACACACACACACATGATACAACTCTCTCTCAACAATCTTCTCTCTCCAGCAGGACCCTTCCTACTCTCCTCTCCTTTTGTATTAAAATTTAATGTATATTGTGCCCCAGGCTTATCTCCTTGTCCCCAGTTCACACTCATTCTTCAACCCAGTGCAAATTAGATTTTATTGCTACTATTCTATTGGGCTTTGCTCACTAAGGTCACCAAACACCACTGCACTCTTAATCGAAATGAACTCTCAGAAGAACATACGTTATTTACTAACTTGTAGGAAATGCTTTCCTTTTTATGGTTCTCCGACTCCCCACCTTTTCTCTTATTTCTGCCTTCCTGAATTTTCCTTCTTGGGATCCTCTATGTGGTCCTGCTTCACTAGATGCACCTGATATCAGGGTGAGGGTAAATCTTGGTCCAACCCAACAAGCAAATGTTGCTGTTGAATGAGATTCAATCCTTCATGCTCTCCACATCACACATTTTACTCTATGCAACCTATACTCATGGCTTCATTTACTTTCTGATCCTTGCATCATATTTTCCATACCTAAATCCAATCCAATCCCTGCTCAGTTCCAAGGTCATACATTAAAGGATTCATGGACATCTTCTCTTCAAGTTCAAATGCCTAAATTTAAACTCATTATCTTTCAAATATTTCATCAGAGGATGGTCTCACTTCCTACCCAGTTCCTCAAGTTTGGAACCTTTGATTTTCTTGGTCTTTGCTATATCTATATTCGGTCAGTAATCAAATTTTCCTGATCACTTATCTTAAATATACTAAAAATCACCAGGCATGGTGGAGCATGCCTGTCATCCTAGCACTTGGGAGGCTGAGGCAGGAGGATTGCTGTGAGTTCTACACCAGCCTGGGCTACATAGTGAGTTCCAGGACAGTCTCAACTGCATAGTGAGACCCTGTCTCAACCCCCCGCTCCCAAAAGCACTAAAAATCTCATTTCTATTCTCATCATTGCAACGGTGGTTACATGTGCTATCATCATGCATAGCTGGACCATGGTGATTACCTGCTGACTTTTATTTGTTTCCTTCTTTCTTGTTCCTCTCACTTAATTTATGCTCCACATTGTTTTTAGAGCAATTTTTAAAAGTTGAGTGTGCCATCCTCAGTGATATCCATTTGACCACACTGTACAATTCAGTCTTACTGATCACTCTTAGGGGTATTCTGAAATGTCCTCTCTCTCTCTTCCAGGACAGTTACATCTTGTGTCTTTTCCCCATGTGTTCTCTAGGCTCTGGATATTCAAACATCTTTACATGGCTCTATCACAGTTTAATCCTAATTTCCCCAATTCTGATCTCTTCCAAGAGAAGATCACTTCTCAGTGCACAGATGTGATTTGGAGTATCACAGGTCCCACTGAGGACAGGTCCTTACTGTGGAGGCAGCTTCTTAGTCTGCATCTTTCCCTTTATTCCACTAAGCATGTCTGATGAAGTCAGGTATCCATTCCCTGAAGCAAAACACTAAACAGAACTCAGTCTAGTTCTCTGCAGTGAGGTGACATGGGATATACCAGGTTGTAGTTGTACCTGTCAGGTTCTAAGGGGGCATTTTATTGCATTGCCAAGTGGAAACTTTCTCCATCAGAATAGCAATTGGCCACTTAGTCATTGGATGATTTAACATGGAAAATTCAAGTGTTGAGTAGAAAAGATGAATTAATAATAAAAGTAGCTATTGACTGGATGTCAGGGAAGAGATAAAAAATCTGGCTTTCACTGTTGATATTACTGCTGATAATAGTGGTTGGCATAGGAAATAATAAATTTAGACCAAGGGAGAATACAAGATTGGAACACTCCCTGAGCTGAAAGAGAAAAGCCAGGATCAGATGACATGCATGGGCTTCATCACAGAGCTGAAGAGATATTAGAGGAGCAATACCATCCTGAGTCGTAATTCTTGCCTCCGTGTTCTCCCAGCTCTTGCACCCTTTTCATGTTCTCAAAGTGGTAGAAATCTAGGGCAGAGGTCAGGGTGTTCCAGATCACCACACTGCCCCATTACACAAGGGTCTTCATGACCTCTTCCAGTAACACTTGACAATGCCCACAGTACACCTGGCCAGGGATAATGGAAAGACTCTTAAAATAGACCAGGTGCAACAAAGGCAAAATCAGTTTAGGTGGATGATGTCAGAAAAGCAGAGCTAAATCTTCTGTATGTTTTGCCTTCTGGACATCTGCAGCTTCTTTAAAAGAAATGACTATTAAGCAAGATGCAACTTATGAATATTTACCGAATATTTACCGAATATTTTTCTCTTGAGATTAAAAAACTGTCCTTTCCCTAGAGTTCTGTCCCTGGTACTGAAAACAGAACAAAACAAAACTATCTCCTAAAAAATGTTTGGAAATATGGACTGACAGTTTGGGAAACCTTCAAATGTATATTTTGAAGCCTTACCCCAATCTTGATGATACTTGAAGGTGAGCCTTTTGGGAGGTGATTAGGAAATAACTAAGGAGACCCGTGAATGGGAACAGTGCCCCTGAAGAAGAAGTGAGAGATGATCTTTCTCAGCCAAGGAACACATGTTGATGTGGCTGTTTATCAGTCAAGAAAGAGGTGATGCAGCATTTCCTGGTGACTTAATCTTGAACTTCTGAGCCTGTCAAATTTGGGGGAATCAGTGTTAGTTGTTTAAGCCACTTGGTGTTTAGTATTTTTTGTTCTATCAGCTTAAACTAACTATGATATTGAGTATGCCAGAAAAACTGAAGGATGGAAACAGGAGTTATTTGTGTATGGAGGAAGGGGCTTTAGACGGCACCTGAGGACAAAGAGATAAAACAAACGTGTGAGGTACTTTTGTCTGGCTCAAACCTCATGGACTCATTCCTGAAGTCCCTGAAAAGGCAGTAATGCATAGTGGCACAGTGGTTATACAGAGGGGTTCTGTGATCAACCTTTCTGGGTGCCACGTTTAGCTCTCATTTGGTGGTCATCACACCTGAGTAATGGGCTTGTCCTCCTGAATTCTGATCCTTACACCTCAAAAGGGGAAATATACCATGGGGGTGTTGGGAGGTTGAAACACACTCTTTCATGTTTAGAATATGGGACAGAGCTTGGAACAGAGTATGTTCATAATGCCCATTAGCAGTTAGTTATTAAGGAATATGGAGAAGGAAATGTTAATCAACTCTTAAGAGTCCCTAAGTGACAGAGGAATGGGTGGTTACTGTTCAGTGTTAATTTATAACATTATGTGGAATGAAAATCTTCCACCTCTGCCTTAGGTATTGCAGCTCTTGCAGGGGAGGAAACGTTGGAAGTACCAGTGAAAATCCTCACCTGGAGGAGACACTGGCAGGGATAAGTTCTCTGAACTATTTATAGGCAAATCACACCAGAAGGAAATGAGGAAAGTACGTGGACTAGTGTGGACCTCATCTCTGGACGCCCTGGTGAATTTCCGAATGGTGAAAAATCACTGCTAATTCACTGTGGTGAGTTAAAGGAATTGAGTCATTAGTGAAGAGACAGCTCATTCCTACAAGTGAGAAAGTTTCTCTAAATTAGGGGATGTGTGTGTGACCTGTTGTATTGCATTTCTACAGAACCATCACAGTGTCCTCATAAGAGAGATCTAACAAAGAAACTGGTCATTCCTGTGTATCCAATCCTCCATAATTCAGCTCACAAATTCTTCTCAATTGAACTCTAACAACCTCCTTCACATTTATATTCTAACACTTTCCCTGCTCAATTTATGATCCAGCCACATACACACAAATGCAATTCTCAGAAATCATCTTGCTTTCTAGCGCCTCTCTCTAAGCTTTGTGCATATGCTATTTTCTCTTTTTTGAATACTCAATTTTTCACCACACTTGCAAACTACAGTCACACACGCACACACACATGCACATGCACACACACACACACACACACACTCACAATGCAATGGGATTTTCTTCTTTCCGTTAATTCCCTTGGCCATCACTCCAAGGCAGTCACTAAATCAAATTCTTTCCCCTTTGTTCTCATCCACATGATCCATAAACTAAGCAATGCTTATGACTTATCTCCTCCTGATCAAATTATGTATACACCCATGCACCCACACTCAGGAACTTTGCATTTGCAATTTCTTATATTTGAATGATATTGCGTATGGCTGCTTTCATCTCAAAGTTCAGGCATCGGTTCAGTTGTTGCTTTCATAGAAGAGTCTTTTATGATTGAAAATAAATTCAATCTTCCCACACCTCATCACACCCACCCTCTGCCCTGCTCTCTCATTGCCTTATTTTATTTGTGTGTCTTATTTACTTAGCTACCCATTTATTGCTCCTTCCCAGTAGGAAAAAGGGCCTTATAGGCCATCATTTTCTATTTCATCCATTGCCGTTGTTCTACACCTTGACAATGCCCAATGCACAGTAACTACTCAGTAAAGCATGTGTTGACTGTCATCCCCGTTAAACAATGAGGTTCTTTATAACCTTTAGAAGCTATACTTTCTAGAGTCAATGTGTTCTACAAGGTCTCATAAATACTGTGTGCTCAAATATGCATTGATAAGATGCATGATCCTGAATTAGACAGTCAAGTATCAGTTATGCAGTGGAAAAATGGAAGACAAGTGATTTCATGGAACCTAATTACAGGGGAGGGCATCCAGGAGAGTTTGGCTAGAAGACAGCAGATAATTGATTAAGATACCAAAGGAAGGAAACCTTTGAGTTGCACATACAACAAGCTCAACATATGTTCATAACACTGACATGACAAAATGAGTTTTATACTTCAGCACTAATTTGCTTTTTAAAAATACCATTTTGAACCTTATCATAGAATCACCTGCTGCTTCATTCTCATGTGTATGTAGAGGGCTGAGTTGCTCTGTGACAGTTGTCTGACAACATGCTAATAGCCAAATCAATTCAAGACACAATGTTGACTTCAGGGATGTTTTCTCCCCCACACATACTTTATGTAAAGAATGTCACTCTCCTGAGACATCGCAATGGCAGTCCACAAATGAACCCTCTTCCTTTGAGAGAGACTAGGTGTAAGGAAAAAGATAATTACTTAGTTCCTTTATCTCCAAATTATTTTTAATAAAATCTGAAATCACACCACAAGGTCTTTCAGGAGGGTGTCATAAATTAAGATGCATCGGTGTATCTTGTACATCTGTTCCATTCTCTGGCCCTTTGTCTTCTGCAAAGAGCACACCAACCTCAATACCCAGCAGACAGCATTTACGCAAATGATGTCGTGGTCTATAGCATTAATATTCATTGATTGTCTGTCATAGACACCTTACTGTACATCTGTTATGCAAATGTATGTTAATTTCGACTCCCTGACAGCTGCCTAGCTTCCCTCCCTTAAAATGATCTTTTCCATTTTGAAGTTTGCAATCTGTTCCCCAAAATGTTAATCCAACAATTAGCTGAAATTGCTAAACAGAAATTGTACATGTTCAGCCTAAAATAGAAAGTAGCATTTGAAAATAGATGATGAACCTTCTTCCCACATCATTTTTATATGTACTTCCACACAACGAAAACATTGATCTCTACACAACTTGGCCAGGGGTAAGTGGTGTCTCTCCCAACCCAGTCCTTGGAATTTGACAGGAAAAGAGGTATCATCACTACTGTCATTCAAAGGGCATTTTTTTCTCAGTGAAGATTTTCATGATCTACAGTGTTTCTTTCCACGTCTGTAACTTCTGTTTTCCCCTCAAAATAATTCATATCAAACACTAGGATATTAACAAATGGCAATACGGAATGTTTATAAAATGATGAATGATTGAGAGCAAGGATTTAAGGGAACATCCCATACAGGCAGAGCATCGTAAACATTCACTCAGTATGAGTTTGGTGGGTGTTAAGTAAAGGGTGCTCCATGTTTACTGTTTCTGTTCACTTTGAGGAGTAGGTGAAATGTTCCAAGTCAGTGATAGAAATATCCATTGTGACTTGAAGAATGACTAGTTGTCTGAGAAGATAAGAGAAGATAAATTGCATTAAACATGTAGTGACAAATCTGTAAGACAGAGGAAATACTTAACAATGTGTGGTGGTTACCACGTTGGTCAGGTGAGTTCAAGGTTAGCATTCTTGGGCGGTGGGTATCTTTATAGTCTATTGTCATCATCATGAAAAACAAAGCAAGAAATGACCGCTGCAACCTACACAGCTGCCATAGCCTCTCCCAGTACCCTTTTCCAGTTCTCTACCCTGAAACAACAGCATGGATGGAGGGCCAGGGCACATATAGAGCTAAGCAGAATCAGGAGGCCCTGCTCTAATGGGGCTGTTTCCTATTCTGTTCAGAACGCACGCCTGGCACTAGGCCTTCCGGAAACCCAATGCCCAGCTAAAGCTAATGAAGCCTGGTACTTTCTCCTGTCCAGCAATCTTAGGAATAAGAATCTGTAAGCTTATTTATAGTGGAACTCCTTTGTCACCTTAACATTTCATTTCTAAGATGATGCTATTGGGCCATATGATTCCCAAAGTTCTGCACTAGTCTATCATTATTTATAATTTATTTTTACATTAATAATGAGGTAATACAGCTTAAAATAATTACAGATTTGGTCTTTGATTGGTGCATGTTAACTACATACAGTAAATACTTCTATTTTATATATATGTCAATCATTATATACATGTCAATCATTAAAATGGATGTAATAATATATACATATATTACTACAATTTTGAACCTCCTTTCCCCTTTCCCTACCCATCCCTGCTTGTTTTCTCTGGCCCCCTTCCTCATCTCCAAACAAACTTGCCTGTATTACCTACCATCCCTCCTTTATTTCACTCTTTCATGTGAAAAAGTGAAACAGTACGAGAGATCGAACTCAGGACCTTGTGCTTGTGAG